TTGTGCAACGTTTATTGTCATAGTGACATTTTTTTTCATGCAAATACAGTAGTAGGAAAAGAGCAACAACTTCTAAGACAAACATATATCGGTTATCAGTTAAACTGACGTCAAAATAATTGGTATCGCATGTGCTTTAAAAAAAATTGTAACAGTTGATCTCTGATTGAATAAGCTAAACATATTTTTTTAACATTACCTTTTTTTTTATAAAATTTTAAATAAAATGGATTCGTTTTGTTTTACTGGATGATTTTTGCGTTTTGACAAACTTTATTGTCGTGTTGTATACACATAGCGTATACAAAACGTAGTTTTGATGCATAGAGCTTTCCATCCATGATGACTGTAGCTGCAGCAGGTCATAGATACAGGATCGATGCACGGTTTGTAGCCTGATAGGCGTCTTATTTTGAAGAGCTAATGCAGCCGCTGCCTCTTCCGGTGCCGCCATTTTGGATGAAATGTCTTAAAGCAAATTTAAGGCAGCACTAGGTAACATTTTTACCTTAATATACCCACTTTAGTCCATGTAATGCCAAGTGTTTATGAGACAATTTAGGAGACAATCATATTTCCTTACTGGCTCTGGTAGCAAAACGCCACTTGCAACTTTCTGTACCACCGTTCATCTTACGATGAGAATGGTAAGATGACTTTACAGCCTTTTCTGGTTTATATTGGACAATGCACAATACTACCCACCTCTTCAAACATTTAGTTGTGATGTGCATCTTCCAGCTGCTTAGAGCCTGTAATTGTGGGGTATGCAGCTTAAGGAGAACAGTCAGTGTTTACAACAGTGCTATTTTTAAAATGCCCTGTAGGGGGAGCACCATGTGAAAGTTATTAATCCTTTTTATCCCAGCATTTTATTGTCATTACACATTACAGAGAAACATAATTAACTCTGCATTTAACCCACCCCCTTGAGAAATAGGCTGCCATTGTGCGGCGCACTGGGAGCAGTGTGGGGTTAAGGGTCTTTGCCACCATTTCCCACAGCAGGAATTAGCATAAAGGGTGTTGCCTAAGGACCCACAATCAGCTCATTCCCCATAGCTGTGATACAAACCCAGGCTTCTGTTTGCAGCACGGGTGAGTTACCACTTGTGTTAGCAAGCCGCTAACAGTGGGCCATTGTGTGGCTCCCGGGGAGCAGTGGGGGGTTAAGGGTCTTGCTCAGGAACCCAGATTGAACCGGGTAGATGGCATGTACTTATATAGCGCCTTTATTCAAGTCAGGAGACTTGACCAAAGCGCTTTAGACTACATTCATTCACCTATTCAAACACTGATGGTGGCAAGCTACATTGTAGCCACAGCTGCCCTGGGGCTCACTGACAGAAGCAGGGCTGCCGTACTCTGGCGCCACCGGGCCCTCTGACCACCATCAGTAGACAATGCAGGTGAAGTGTCTTCCCCAAGGACACAACGACACTGAAAGTCTGAGTCGGGGCTTGAACCGTCAATCCTTCGATATCAGGGCAAACTCCTACATCCAACGTCACTGTCGCCCACACTTGCAACCTTCTCAGAGCACAAGTGAACTTCTCTAGCCACTAGGCCGTAACTCCGCCTTAAAACGATCCTGCTTAAAGTATTTATTTTCACATTAATTCAATAAACCTGCCTGTTTATCCAGTTAGTTGACAATAATTTCAATAGATTTTTAATTCTAAAAAAAAGTGTTTTTTGATAGTTGATTTTTGTATCAAATGTTTTTCCAACCCAGACTGAAGTAGCTGAAGTGATTAAATTAGTTTAAAAGGACGACCACACAATTGTGTTCTTTTGCTTTTGTAACAATTGATAACTAACTGATAATCTATTGAAATGAAATAGTCGTATCTGTTTATCAAACAATGATGCATTCCTCTTCATCACTCAAACCTGGCAACCTGTTTGTGTTTGTATGTGTGTGTAGTAATGCAGCGGGAGGAAGAGGTCATGAGACTGTCATCACTGATTCCATCCTGCTCCTGAAGAAAGACGCCGCTGTTCTCCCCAGCCGCTCTCGCAGCCGTGCAGATGAAGAGGGCGGGGGATGTACGAGCACAGGTTCAGACTGTGTCCAATCAGACTTGCTTATCACTGTGTTCTCTGTGTCAGCGCAGAGAAAAAAAATAAAAAACAAAACCACATATCCAGGATCACATGTTCTGAGGTGAATTCCTGAGGATGCTCACAGCACTTAGTTTATAAACTCACCGTGGAGGGAGACGATGCTTCAGGTCCCATGACTTGGAAGAAAAGCAAAGAGGAGACTCTCTTTAATAGGAGGCTTCCACTGTCTGGACCTGGGTTATATCAGACGTTCAGCTCAGAGTGGAAATTACAAACCATAACTTTCTCAAAATAGGTTAATACGAGCTTAGACGAACAGCAACTCAATAGCCTTACGTCACGGTACATCTTTAATGTCTGTCTGCTGTAAGCAGGGGCGGAGCTACAGGGTGGGGCGATGGGGGACCAGATCACTCCTGTTCAATACTTGGTGCTGTTCAGGGGTGGAAAGTAATGAATTACATTTACTCAAGTTACTGTAATTGAGTATTTTTATGAGTAATTTGTAATTTTCTGAGTAGTTTTTAAAAAAATCTGTAATTTTTACTTTTACTCGAGTAAATTTGAACCTAAGT